TCACAGTTCTTTGGCATCGATTCCACAGCCAGACTCCTCTCCTTGAATCCAAGTCAAACTCTTCATTTAGGACCCAAGTTAGAACCAGGAGTTGATACAGAGGATAAGACCTTGCAGGAGCCATGGCAGGCAGGAGGTTCAGACTGCCTCAGACATTTCACTATTTCCACTTTCATCAACTCTAGTCTGACTGCTTCTGGTCTCTGGGTCTGGGCAGTAGAGAAACACAACTCTGCAGCAAGATCTCTGTCCATTCCAAATGCCTTCCTCCATCACCCCAGCCTGGACGGCAGGTGGGCATTGTTTCTCGTAACACAGCACCAGCTATTCTCTTCTGAACTTGAGAAACAGCCTTTAGAGATCCAATCCTCCTGCTTAATTTTAGGCTGCTATGTGCACATTTGGGTGGGTAACTGCACTGAACTCTTGGATCGAGGGGAGGGGAGTCACGGCATTGTGAAGAAGCAGCAATTTTCACAAGTGCCCAAAACTCTCGCCTTGCTGATCAGTTTGTTCTCTGAGCACCTTGCACACTGCCTCCTCAGGTAACCTGTTATTAAAGTCTCATTATCCAGGCGAGACAGACCTGGTAAAGAACTGATTACCTCGTCCCTGAGTTCTACGTGACAACTAAGCTCCAACCTTCCCCACACACACACCCCGACCCAGCAAAAGAAAGATGAATCATGATCTATTCAACAGCACTCACGGGCACTTCGCTCTCTTATTTCATTAGGAGCTCTTCTTAGGAGCTAGGGTGGCCTATTGACTAAACTTCAGTCCCTTCCACTGAAAGCCAAGAGCCAAAAATAAAAAGACAGCATAGGCTGGAAAAATCAGAATTTGCATGAAATCAAGGGCTTGTGATGATCCCTGCAGACAGGAATGAAAATAAAGTTTGTGCAGAAGAGTCAATAAGCAGCTGAATTATTAACTTCATTCAGCATCCAAGTAGCTAATGGGGCTAGTGTGCTCCTGGGTAAGGCAGAGGCAAACAAGGCACCTTGCTTCCAGCTTTGCAGCATTCTCTCACCGTACTGGGCTGTCTTTTAGGCTGGGGTCTCCAAAAGGACAGAAACACATGTGTTTTCTAAACACTACTGTATCCTCAGCTCCTGGTATGACACTTGGCATGTACTCAGAGTTTAATAAAGAAACAAATGAATCAAAACAATAGCTACCACTTACTAGGCTCTTGCTATGTATTTTACAAGAATTTATCATTTTACCTTCATAGCAACTAAACAATAGGGTACCATTATGCCCCATCTCATAGATGGATACATTAAGTCTCCAAAAGGCTTTGTAACATGGCCAACACACAGCCAGTACGTGGTACCTGTAGCCAGGTAGGTGGGAAAAAGATGGGGAGCCGTAGCTGCCATTTCTTTCAGTAAAGAACCTCAGATTTAGCCTGGAAACCTGCTGGTTGATAGTGAGACACATGGCTTCATGGTAAACATCAATTAAGCCAATTCCAAGATAACATCTACCTGAAAGCCAGGCCCTAACCTCCCCAGAGATGGGCCTTCTGTCTTATACTCTGGGTTCACTGGTTAATGAAAATTGTAGATGATAATTAACACTTGACTTAGAAAGCACCATAACCTCACAGGACACAAGGCCTAGCTCCAAGGCCTGAGGCCTTGGGATTCATAATGTATTATTCATTGGTTTCCAAGACCAGCTTCTCCCTGAAAATATATTACTGTAAGTTTTCAAGGTAAAGTTAACACAAATCTTTTCCCACTCAGGGCAGTGAGGCCAAGTTCCATTTATTTCTTGTCATATATTAAACTAGAAGATAATGCCAGCATGGCATCTCACATTAACTGCAGAGTTCTTGTCACCCTAAAAGGCACTAAGTTTTCACTGATGTATTTCTCCCTCTTCTACCAGGGTTTCTACAGTTTTCATATTGATTTATAAGTGCTCTTTATGTAAGAAGGACATCATCCATTGTCTGCATAATGTTTATAAATACAAATTCCTCATTTAGTCTTTTGCCTTATATTTCACTTGTTATGTTTTTTATACAATAAGTTAAGTTTTGTGTGACTAAATCTCTCAGTCTTTCCAGTTTCTGGAATTTAACCCTGCCCAAGATTATATGCTACTCAGAAACATGATGTAATTTTTAATATTTAACTCTTCAGTCTGTTAATATGTTTTCGTTCTTTTACTTTTAAAATAAAAAAGAGAATTTGTCTAGTTACATGATGCAAACCATGGATAAAATACCATATTTCTTACAGCTTACCCCAGCTAAATGAGCATAACTCAGCCAATAAGGTCCCTTTTACCAAAAAAAGAACAATAAAATTGATCTATTCAAGTAATGCCCTGAACACTTGTGACAAAGGGGATGGGTATAAATTAAGATCCAAGAGACCCAAATAATTCATCTGGCCATCCTGGGTGATTCAAGCCAATGAGCCACCTTCTCTTTAAAGAAGAATTTTGTATTTCTTCTCATTTTGCTTCCTAAAGAGAAGAACTAAAGGTTGTGAACAGTCTCCCTTAAGAATGTAGAAGCAGTTATTAGAGATGCAAAGTTCAGTTCAGACCCTTTCCTGGCAAAGCAGGGGCAGATGGTTCCTGCTATGGGAGGGGCGACTTGGGCTCCAGCAATCTCAGTGAGTCTATGGGGTCTCCTGGAGACAGTGGTCAAGTCCAAGCCCAGGGGTTAAGTCTTTAACTACAGAATGGAAAGCAAACAGGTAAAGGGTAATGAAGATTGTTTGAAAAACAGCAAATCAAACAGATTCCAAGCTAGGTTAATTGTCCTCAGCTGAGGGTTCTGGTAGAGCAGGGGCTCGGGTCTAAATTTAGAGATGTCCTGCTTATTGGGGATCTCCCTGCTTCTGTTTGTTGACCTAGAGTCCCTAAGCGAAGGAATCAGGAATAAATCAGGCTCTGTAGCAAAATTCATAGTGAGAAGCAAATGAGTAAAAAAAATACACACTAAATCAAGACCCGTTTCACCTAATCAAAATTCAGAAGGCTTTCCCTGGATGTGCTCTATAATTGTTTGCTTCATCTGTGTCAGCCAAAGGTTTGTAGGGTGTTTCAAGGTAAGAAAGGAAAAACGAGTTCGTGTAAAACTATCCCTGTGTCACTGGGATTACCCACTTCTTAGATTGTTCATGGCAAGTGCATGGTCCTGGGCCAAGCCTTGCCTGCCCAGCCCTGCCCAGCAAGACCATGCCCTTCCATCCCTCCAGTTTGGAGTTTGGGGCTCACTCAGGTACTGTGCCCCTGTTCCCTTCCACTCAGATGAAAACCAAGGTTGTTTCAAACTGGGAGACAATATAACAGCAAATCTTGCCACACAATGAGTGTGATCCTTTTGCACAAAATGGAGGCTGCATCTTGCATGAAGAAAATTTTTCCACCTTCTCAGAACTGCATCAGGGCTGGAGCTCTGTGACAATAGCTTTCTACCCCAACATTGCTTTTAAAACTAGTAACTAGGCTGGACATGGTGGGGCACACCTCTAATCCTAGCACTTGGGAGGCTGAGGCAGGAGGATCAGTGTGAGTTTGAGACCAGTCTGGGCTACTTTGTGAGTTCAAGGCCATCCTGAACTACACAGCAAGAGCCTATCTCGAGAAACCAAAACCAGAAGATAAACAACAGAAACAAACTAGTAACTAAATACCTTCTAAAATCAATTAAACATTCAAAATTCATAGCATTAAGAGAAATAAAAATAATAACAGCACAAATCCATTTCAAATATCAGTTGTTCAGACTGTGGCATGTATAGAGAATGGGCCAAACAGCTGGCTAGACACACCTACATACATACACCCCCAAATACACACACTCAAGAGAGTTGCAAATTCATGCGAGTCAAGAGTGGATTTTTAGCCCAAGTGACAAGTAGTAGTATTTTTGTACTTCCCGTTAAATAAATATCAATCCTTGACAGACACTGATTTTTTTAAAAGAAAATCTGTTAGTCCTGGCCATTTGTGGGTGAGTGTAGAGAATCTGAAATGTTAAAGAGGGGGAAAAAATCCTTTCTTTGGACTTGGGCTGTAAAATTTGGATGTAAACCAAAAAACTTCACTGAGGCATTCCAGTGCTACCAGATGCACCTGCATATTCTAAGCCATCTAACCAAAACCCAGCTTTCTGACAGGCTCCCACCTCACAGGCCTGACAAAAGATCATATATAAGGGAAACAAGGACAGTGGCATATGCTTGGTTGGGCCTTAGTCTTAAAACCACTGTATCTCAATAACTTCATAGTCTCCAAAGGATCAAAGAACAATATTCTAAAAGCCACATCTTACCTGAACTACCCTTAAAGCACACACAGCCTCTACCTGGGTCCACTACAGTGTAAGATTTGGGCAGTTACCTAGTGACTTTGGACAATGTAGACACACCGACTCCCCACTGCCGTTTCTAATAATTCCAGCCCAGTTTAGAGGACTTAGTATAGTGCTTGGTCGCAGGCATGGAAAGTGGAGGTATAAGTGACCCCACCATAAAGACGGTCAGAAGACTCAATAGCTGCTCTGCTTCAAGTGCCCTTCAAGTGCTAGGGAGCATGCAGGCCCGCTCCCTCTGCAGACACCACCTGCTTCCCAGCCTGAGTTCCCCCTCCCATGGGCTGCGTAGAATGAAGAGAGAGGCTTAAGAGTCAGGTGAAAGAGCAGTTTGCTTTCTGAGGCTCATAATGCTCAAGAACAAATATTTGCCCCATTGTTTAATTTTAGACGTTTAATTAATTACAGAAAGATAAAAATAATACCTCATCTAGAGTCCCAATAAATGGATTGAATGAAAAAGGCAGAGACTGTCATTTATAATACTCTTTCCAAGTCTTCTTAGAAATCTAAGGATCCTATTATTTTGGAACATAGGCACCTGCACCCCACCCTAGCCCCACTCCAGGGAGACCACTAACACATGGGCAAGGGTAGCTTTCATTTTTAAAATGTGAACTAATTCAAAGACATGAAAGGACTGCTTGTTTCCTTGTAGGGTTGAAGAAAGCTTTAAAACCTTATTTTGGTCCATATTCGGCTTATCAGAAGTGATCTCGGTGGTGCTGAAATACGACCACAAATTCATCGAGAACATCGGCTACGTTCTCTACGGCGTTTACAACGTTACCATGGTGGTAGTGCTGCTCAACATGCTAATAGCCATGATTAACAACTCCTACCAGGAAATCGAGGTAAGACCAGTTCGCCGGAACGTTCGCTCTTACTTGCTTCACTGACACTGATGCTTTCAGCAGTGAGGGTGTGGCACAGAAGCCTTATGCTATAATTAAATGTAACACTTGGACAGCAAAAAGCAGACATTCTTCCTGGGCAGCTTCAAGACATGCATCTGGTCGGTCTGCCACATGGTAGACTGTGTGGCTGGTACAACCACACAAAAGGGCACAGTGAGAGCCGAAAGAACTACTCTTTGACACATGCTGCCTTAGAAAACCACACAAGGGGCTCAGGCCTCATCTAAGTGACTATCAGCCTGCTCGCTTTCTACTCCTCACTTGCTATTTAAGAACCTATTATATGTCAAGCCTGTGCTAGGCACTGCAGATACAAAGATGATTAAGACACAGTACCTGCCTTGAGGAGCGCATAGTCCAGAGAGAAAAGCAGGTATGGCAAGCAACAAATTACTGACTCTGGAGCCAACACAATTGCAAACAGGAGAAGTAAAGCAAAGAGCGATGGGCCATGGGGAAGTAAGCTTCCAGGGGTACTTGAAGGGCACCTAAACACAAAAACAATTTTGCCAGGCAGATAAGGGGGTTAAGAGAAAGTATCAAGAAGCAGTTTATCAAATCTATAATGCATAAACCATAAGCTATTGATTGCAATCTTGCTTAGAACATCAAGAAATTAAAAACAAACTAAATGAGCATTCATAGGATCTGGTAAATAGAATTTGATGTATCTGAACAATAGAATGCTGTGCGCAATTTAATAAAAAAGATAGATGATGTTCTTTATATGCTGATGGTAAAATATACACTCATTTGTTATTGCAAAAGGTTTTTTGTTTGTTTGTTCTGTTTTGTTTTGCTGTGCTGGGAATCGAACATAGTAGCACTGAACTACAATCCCCAGACCTTCTTATTTGTTATTTTGGGGTAGGGTCTCACTAAGTCCCTAAGTTGCCCAAACTGGGCTCAAACTGGGGATCCTCCTGCCTCAGCCTCCCAACATGCTAGGATTATAGGTGTGTACTATTACACACACATTTTAAAGAAAAACAAACCTTTGAAACTATCCTTAAGAAAGGCACCACTGGGGCTGGGGATTTAGCTCAGCGGCAAAAGCGCCTGCCTGGCAAGCGCAAAGTCGTGAGTTCGGTTCCCGGTACCGGAGAAAAACCAAAAAAAAAAAAGAAAGGCACCACTAGGGTGGTGCATGATAAGTGGGATCCTTTTCACTTTATTTATACCTTCTTATGCTGTACTAAATCATGTTTACCTATTACAGTTAAATAAAATTAACATTTTAAATGCTCTAACCCATTTTGTCTGCATTTCTAATTCTAAGAATAGATTCACACATGAATATGATTTTACACAGATGCTCACTAAAGGAAAAGTTTGGAACTAGCTCATCGATATCAGAATGTCTAAGCTGAGACAGTCACACTTTAGAATACTGTATATATACAGTGACAAAGACTTTTTGTACTAACATGGAAAAATTCCTCAGATATTATTCAGTGAAAAACTGCAAGTTGCAGAAAAATACAAACAGGCAAATCTCATATTTACATAACAATGCAATTGTAAATACACAGACAGAAAAGAGAGAAAAAGGGATGCTACCAGCCTCTTGGTCAGGAATCCTCTCAGGAGGGGAGTATAAAGATAGAGGGGATTTCAAAGGGCGCTTTCGTATTCGCTTGGCATAGCTCTGTACTAAATGATAAGAAACAATTGTGTATTCCTCATATAGAGAAAATAAAGATTCCTGATCTTTATTTGCTATGACTTTCAATTTTTTAAAAAAAAAAAAGAGCAGACTGTGGCTTAAACATCAAGAATGTTTTTTCTTATAGTTCCAGAAGGGAGGAGCTCAAAGTTCCTGCAGGGGTGGTTTCTGGTGAGGCCTGGCTCCCCGGCTCACAGACGGCCACCTTCTTGCTGCATTTGCACATAGTCTTCCCACAACACTGCTGGGCTAGGCTCCCACCTTATGACTTCATTCAACTCTAACCACCCCTCTGAAGAGTCCACCTTCAAACACATTCTAAGGTACCAGGCGAGCAGGACTTCAACACAGGAGTTTTACAGAGCTACAGTGCAGCCCAATAACACCAGAAAAATAAGACTACAGTATTCCAGACTATCTCGGGGCAGGGCAGGGCAGGGCAGAACGGTGTGGTGTGTTCAGCACCACCAGAGCAGAGATTGAGCAAGGAGAAGAGGCAAGAGGTGATACGAGCGAGTTGGGTCATGGAGCCTTAGCTGCCTGTTATTGTGCTCTCAAGAAAATACAACACAGGATGGGTAGGCAGCTAAATTCTTCACAAGCCTTTCTATATTTGGTCACTATGTGGAGGATGAGCTATTGTTAAATAGTCCTGCCCCTCTGGGCCTCAGTTTTCCCACATGTAAGAGAAACTTAGATGATGCCTGGATAGTCTGAGGATCTCTGTGCTACTCACCCAGGGCAGCCCTCCTGCAGCCTGACCAGCATGTCGTGCTTTGGTACTAATGACTGTGATATGAGCGTGCATGTGGTTGGCTAAGGGTTGCCCTCTCACTTAAGACAGGAATAGGCAAGCTCACAGCATGTGATATCAAGTTATTCTAGCACGGAATGGAGAGAGAGACAGAGAGAGAGAGCTCACTGCAGCCCCACATCTCCCCTCAGTACTCTGAACTCCACCAGGTACCAAGCTGAGCTTTGATGAAGTGTGTGTAAGTCCTCCTAGAAAAGTCTCCCATTTATTGAGTACGTCTTGAATACCTGCTACTCCAATCCACTACATCCTGCACCTTCCCTGCTGGCTCCCTCCACCCCACCCAGGCAGAGCCACTCTAATTCCTCTGGAGCAGCTGCTCTGGGGCCCAGGCTCCCTCCTCTTCCTCCTCAGAAGCCGTCCTCAGCACAGCACCCATGCACAGCCTCCCTGCGTTTTCACCCTCTTCCTCTCTACCCTGTCCTTCCTCTCAGTATTTGAGACTCTTGATCTTTAAAAAAGAGAAAAGATAAGATAAAAACAGAACTGTAAAAAGTCCTCGCTCCATCTCATTTTCAGCTCTGAACCACTCTCCCCCCTCAACCCCGCGCTTTATCCCCAACCTTCTCCAGAGTTATTTACCCTTCTCACTGCCTCCCTGATGGTTAACTCCTACTCCTTCTCCACCCAGCCCCACTTGCCCCCACTCTACCTGGTGAGAACTACTCAGCTCTGACACCAGCTATGGGGAGGCATCTGAGCCCCAGATCAGGGCCCAGCATGAGAGCTTCCCAAGGCTCTAACAAACCTCTCAGGCAAAGGCTGACTGGTGAACAGTTTAACCAGTTCATTGGCCAGGTTATCTGATCCACAGGGCATGTTACTCCTTAGCACAGGCCAGGCACCAAGGAGATGCTCTACAGATATTTACTAAATGTCTAAGTGCTGACCCCTGTGCTAGGCCTGCACTAGGCTATGGAAAAGAAAGTAGTATTTTTTTTTTTTTTTGAGGGCTTACTCAATATCTTTCACTGTTAAATGTCTTTTATGCATTAATTCTTTAAATTCTCACAACAACCTATGAGATAGATAGATAGATAGATATCATGATTCCTATTTACTGATGAGGTAACTGAGTCAACTACTGTAGCTTCAAGGTAGGTAAGGAGAATAGCCAGGATTTGAACCCTGGCAAGCACCAGAACCCATGCTCTTACCTCTACACAGCCCTCCCTGTCAATCGAGCTGAGTCCCGGTATCCCTGTTATAGTTCTCTTGAACAGCAAGACCAGGAGTGACCCCTGCCCTCAGAAAGCTCCCAGTCTGCTGGGCATAGTGGCGCACTCCCAAACTCCCAGGATTTGGGATGCTAAGGAAGGAGAATCATGAGTTAACATGGGTACATAGTGGGTTCCAGACATGGCAAGACCTTATGTCAAAAAACAAAACAAAACAAAATACATATACACCTAAAGCAAAAAACAACCTTCCCATCCCCTTCTAAAAGAGACATATAAAATGTCCCCAAGCAGACCAAGCCACGACAAAAGCAAGTAAAGTAGTCAAGCTGCTGGTTACGACCTTCTACCCTGGCAGCACATCCCAACAGCCTCATGTAGGCCCTTGCTGGGTTCACAGTCCTTGGAGTGTATCCACTGCCTGTGGAAATGAGCACATACTCAATGTCTGAGGATGAAAAGACACTGTTCTCAGCCTTGTCTGGATGACATCAGGACTTAACTGAAATCACAAAGTAAGGCATATTGAAATCAGATCTATCTGATTCAAAATCCAATCCTCAAATGAGTAAGAAGATGGGCAATTCAAAATAAAAATTTTAATTAAAAAAACCCTCAAATCCCATCTTCTTTTTCTCCCTTCCTACCACAGAGGTTCAAGAAGCCTGTCCAGAGCAAAACACTCCTACTGCTTCTCAGGGGGTCCACTCAGGATTCTGGCATGGATGCCAAGTCAAAAGCTCTAGTTTTTAATCTAATCCCACCACCAGAGAAGAGAGTATGGCAGGATTACCTCCTCTAAGCCACAGCCAGACCTTGTTCCCCTTGAATTACATATGCTAGATCTCTTAACATCCCCCAGCAGCACGTTGGCCAGTATGAAATGCACTTTTTAATGCTTATCCTATATCGTCCAGTGTGGTAGCCACTCACCACAGGAGCCTATGCAGCACTTGAAATGAAGCTGCTCCAAACTGAGATGTGCTCTAAGTATAAGATTCACACGGGCTCTTCGTATGCAAGGAAAGAGAAAGCTAGCTCATTAATCATTTTTCGGGGGCAGTGCTGACGGCCAAATGCAGAGCCTTGTCTGCCACTAAGCATGAGCGCTACCACTAAACTTCATCTTCAGCAGTAATTTTTGTGATAATTACTTCTGGAAATGATAACATGTGGGACCCATTAAGTTAAATAAAATGCATCATTGACATTAATCTTACCTGTTCCTTTTACCTTTTATAACTGACATAGAAAATGTAAATGTATCCAAAGGCCTCACCTTGGTGGCTCACAATACATTTCTATTGGACAGCACTTCTCCAAAACATAAATAAATACCTTGCTGCTGTGGTGGTTGATTAATCTACTAGCAGAGCTGTAAAAATTAATGAATAATAAGGTGAAGTGGCAGTGAGGAGTGTTCTTTGGTGAGCTGCAAGCGGAGAACGTTGGTGAAAATATAGAGAGGAGAACACAGGAGAGCACCACACACTGGCTCATGCTTCTCCCAGGAATCCCAAGGATGTAGGTGGAGGGCTTTAAGAGTGAGGAATGCGTGTGGGCTTAGCAAAAGCAAATCGCCACCTTGTGCCCTCCGTAGAAAGGATGAGCAGCCACAGATCCATCGGAGTCTGTTTCAGAAGTCTCATCTCAGAATCTGAAGCCTGTATCTCTGCTCCTCACAGTGAGCTCGGTTGTTAAGTCTTAGCCTTTGATGGTGTGCTTTTGATTCCCTTGTTCCGCAGGAGGATGCAGATGTGGAGTGGAAATTTGCCCGAGCAAAGCTCTGGTTGTCTTATTTTGATGAAGGAAGAACTCTACCTGCCCCTTTTAATCTAGTGCCAAGTCCTAAATCATTTTATTATCTCATAATGAGAATCAAGATGTGCCTCATAAAACTCTGCAAATCTAAGGCCAAAAGCTGTGAAAATGACCTTGAAATGGGCATGCTGAATTCCAAATTCAGGGTATGTAGCATCTGGTTTGTGGGGCTAGAAAAAGCAGCGGGAGGAGGCGGCAAAGGGAGTCGTATGTGTTTGATTCACATGGTGGCCCCTGATGCAAGGGAAGCTGGGAGCGGCAAGGGGCTGTTGCCTTTCAGAATATGCCGGGCACATCACGAGCTGCCACAGAGCAGGGGCTGCCCAAGGTAGCAACCCTTCTCCGTGTAATTCCTTGGGGAGGTGCACCATTGAGGACTTAGCAAGCACCTGCTGCCTGCTCCCTGGCTGAGCCACAGTCTCATAAGGGGAGCTCCTTACTGGACTTGGAATAGCTTTTTCCAGAAAGAATCTGGAGAATGAACTCTGAGCAAAAGTTTCCCTGACCACTCTCTCTTCCTCATGTAGATTCTTAATGTTTAACCTATTAGAGCCTCTGAGAAGTCCTTGAGGAAAGACAGTCATATAACTTTAACTCGGTGCTTCTCAAACCAACTGGAGTCTCCCAGACATTCTATAATGTTTGTGAGCACTCTGCAGAGCTAGAGTTCCTGGGAGCTGTTCTGAGAAACCATGCAGCAAGGAGTAAACCAGCTTCCAGAAGGTCCCTTAGAGACCCAGTCCTATAAGTGGATATTGTTCATTCAAGTCCTATCATGCCTCTGTGTGACTTTTTTTTTCCCCAGAAGACTCGCTACCAGGCTGGCATGAGAAATTCTGAAAACCTGACTGCAAACAACACTTTCAGCAAGCCCACCAGATACCAGGTAATTACCCCTTTCCCCAAGTTGGGCAGAAGTAGATGCCACTAAGACATGAATTTAGTCACATGGCTGTCCCATCTCCACAGGACACAGCTCCCTCCTTCCTTCACTGAATACATATTTGAGTGGCTGATACATGCCAGGCACTGTGGCATTTACTGAGGAGATACGTGTGGTTCCTACCTTAGTGGCATCTTCAGGTTAGTGAGGGTCAGAGGTAGTGAACAAGAAAACACACAGATGAATATATGACATTAAATTGATGAAAGAGCCAAGGAGAAAAGAATAAGGTTCAGAAATGGAGAAAAATGCTTCTAATTGAGAGAGCATCTTCAAGGAGAAAACAGTTAGTAAAGACCTCACAGATAAGAAGGGGGCAGCCATGAAGAAAGGGATATAGGCAGTGGAGCAGTATCCACAAAAGTCAGAGAGAAGCTGGAAGGGAGACCAGAGGTGACAGTGTCAGGGTCCATTCACTTACCTGGAAATGTCTCATGTTTATCCTTCTTTTTGACAGAGTAGGTCTCCATTGTATTTTTAAAAATACACATCTTTATCCATTCATTGGTTGATGGGTATTTGGGCTGTTTCCAAGAATTAGCTATTACAAATGATGCCACTATAAACATGGGTGTGCATAAACGTTGTAGTGTGATTTTTTAATTCTTTCAGGAAGATACCAAGAAGGGTAATAACTGGGTTGAATGGAGCCCTAGTTCTTTTTTTAGGAATCTTCAACTGATTTCCACAATAGTTGCACCAGTCTACACTCCCACCAATTGTGGAGAAGGGTTATTTTTTCCCCACAGCCCAGCCAGCATTTATTATTGGTGGATTTCTTGACAATAGCTGTTCTTTCTGGAGTGAGATGAAATCTCAGCAGTGATTTAATTTGAATCTCTCGAATTTCAGGTGATAGTAAACATTTTTTCATGTATTTATTTGCTGTTTGTACTTTTTCATCTGAAAAGTGCCTATTCATTTCATATGCCCGTTTTTGTTTCGGTCTTTAAACTTGAGGGTGTCTGTTTTTTTGAGTTCCTTATATATTCTAGATATTAGTCCTTTGTCTGAGAAACAATGGCAAAAAATTTTTCCCACACTGTGGGTTGTCTCTTTCTTGGTGGTTTTTCTTGCTGTGCAATAGCTTCTTAATAAGATGAAATACCAGTTATTAATTCTTTGTGATGGTTTTTGTTCAATCAGGGTTTTGTTTATAAAGTCCTTGCCTACACCAATGTCTTTAAGAGTTCTACCTATTCTATCTCCCAGCAGATTTAGTGTTTCTGTTTTAATATTTAGATATTTGACCCGTTTAAATATCAGTTTAGTGCATGGAGAGAGATAGGTTCTAGGTTTAATCTTCAGCATGTGCAGAGCCAGTTTTCCCAGTACCATTTACTAAAGAGGCTATCTTTCTTCCAATGAAGGTGTTTGGCCACTTTGTCAAACATAAAGTGGCTGAGGGCCTTTGGAGCTGATTCTGCATCTTCTATTCTGTTCCATTCATTACAGGTCTGTTGTTTGTTTATTTGGTTGGTTGGGGTCTTTTTGCCAGTAGCATGGTGTTTTTATCACAGTAGCTTTGTAGTACAATTTCAAGTCAGAGACTGTGATGCTCCCTGCCTTGCCTTTGTTGCCCAGAATTGCTTTTGGTATTCTAGGTATCTTCTTGTTCCAAATGAATTTTAGGATTATTTTCTCTAGTTCTCTGAAGTATGCTTTTGGTATTTTGATTAGGACTGCATTAAATCTGTACAACAGTTTTGAATGTATGGCTATTTTCACTATGCTGGTTCTGCCCATCCAAAACCAAGAGATATCTTTCCATTTTCTGATACTCTCTGTGATCTCCTTTTTCTGAGTACTATAGTTTTTAATGTAAAGGTCTTTTACTTCCTTCATTAGATTGATTCCTAGGTATTTAATTTTTCTTGATGCTGTGAAAGGTGTTGTTGCCCTAATTTCACTCTCAGTGAGTTTGTTATTTGTGTACAGGAATGCTATTGATCTTTGAGTGCTGACTTTGTATCCTGCCATGCTACTAAATTTGGTTATTAATTCTAGGAGTCTTTTGGTGGAGTTTTTGAGGTCCTGTATGTAAAGTGTCATGCTTTCTGCAAATAATAACAGTTTAATGTCTTCCTTTCCTATCCTACCCCTTTTATTTCTTTTTCTTGTCTAAGTGCTCTGGCTAATGTTTCCAGAGCTATATTGAACAGGTATGGTGATAGTGGACATCCTTGTCTTGTTCCTGATTTTAGTGTAAAAGCTTTCAGTTTTGACCATTTAGTAAGATGTTGGTAGTTGGTTTGTCATAGATGCTTTTATCAGACTGAGAAAAAGAGTTTGTATTCCAATTTTCTGTAGGGTTTTTTATCATGAATGAGTGTTGGATACTGTCAAGTTCTTTTTCTGCATCTATTGAGATGATCATGTTTATTTGTCTTTGGCTCTGCTGCATCTATTGATTTGTGTATGTTGAACCATCCTTGTATCCCTGGGATGAATCTTACCTTGTCATGGTGTATAATCTTCTTGATGATTTGCTGCATTCTGCTTGCCAGTATCTTGTTGAGGATTTTTGTATCTATGGTCATTAAGAAGATTGATCTGTAGTTCTACTTTTTTTGTTTGGGTCCTTCTGTGGTTTTATAATCAGGGTAATGCTTGCTTTCCAGGAATGAATTTGGGAGTATTGCTTCACTTTCAAATTCATTAAAGAATTTGAGAAGTTTTGGCATTAGATCTTCTCTAAATTTCTTGTAGATATCAACAGTGAATCCATCAGAGTCTGGACTCTTCTTTATTGATAGGTTTTTAAGTACACCTTTGATTTTACTGACTGATATTTATTTATTTATAATTTTATATCTTCTTGATTCACTTTGGTAAATTATATGTATTTAGCTTTGGTAATTTATATGTATCTAGGAATCTGCCCATTTCTTCTGCATTTGCCATCTTATTAGAGTACAGGTTCTTAAAGTAGGTATTAATCTTCAGGATTTCTGCAGGATTTGTTGTGATTTCATCCTTTTCATTCCTAATTACATGGATTTGAGTCTTTCCTTCCTTTTTTGATAAGATTGGCTAATGGTTTGACAATTTTATTTACTCTTTCAAAGATTAAATAAATTTTATAATTAAATCAAACTCTTGAATTCATTGAGTCTTTATTCATTATTCATTATTGTTTTCTTAGTCTTCATTGAATTAATTTCTGCTCTGATATTAATGATTTCCTCCCTTATATGAGTTTTGGGCTTGACTTGCTCTTCTTTATCTAGAAGCCTGAGGTTCAACATTAGCTTGTTCATTTGGGCTAGCTCTGTTTTTTTCTGACATGGATATTCACCCCTATAAATTTCCCTCATAGGACTGTTTTCATTGTGTCCCATATGTTCTGCTATGTTGTATTGGCATTATCACTTAATTGTAGAAATTCTTTTATTTCTTCTTTAATTTTATCTGTGAGCCCTTAACTGCTCAGGTGTTACTTAGTTTCCATGTGTTTATGAAGTGCTTGTGGTTTCTTTTGGCACTGACTTCTAATTTCATTGCACTATGCTCTGGTAATATACACGGGATAATTTCAATTTCTTTGCATTTACTTAAGCATGTTCTATGAGCTTGTATGTGATCTATTTTGGAGAATGTACCATGTGCAGCAGAGAAGAATGTATATTCAGGATGTAACGCTCTGTAGACATCTACTAGGTCCATTTGTTCAAAAGTTTAGTTCAGTTCTGATAGTTCATTATTGGTTTTTTGTCCAGTTGATCTGTCTGTTTGTAACAGTAGAGTATTGAGGTTGCCCATTACAACTGTATTAGTGATTATTTGATTTTTCCTGTCTGTTAATATTTGTTTTATATAATTGGATGCACTGGTATTTTGTGTGTATATATTTATGACTGTTATCTCTTCCTCTTGAATTGTTCCCTTTACAAGGATGTAGTGATTGTCTTTGTTTCTGTTAATCAGTCTTGGCTTGAAATCCACTTTGTCTACAAATAGAATAGCTACCCCTGCTTGCTTCCAGGTTCCCATTGCATGGAGTATTGTTTTCCATCCTTTCACCTTCAGTCTATACATTTCTTTTTGAGTGAAATATTTTTCTTGAATGCAGCACATTGTTGGATCTTGCTTATTGATTCATTCTGCCAATCCATTTCTTTTGATTGGTGAATTGAGATCATTAATATTAATGGTTATAACTGATATGTATTGACTTATCCTTGTGATATTATTTTCCTATTGTTGGTTTCCATTTTCCCCTTCTGTTTAATTGCTTGCCTTGCCTTGTGGATTCATTCTGTTGAGATTCATGGAGTTGTGGTCCTTGTTATCACTTTCTAGAATATCCTTCAGAGCATTTTGGTGTGCTGGTTTGGTGCTCATGAATTTCCTGAGATGTTGTCATGAAAGTATCTTATTTCTCCATCAATTTTGAAAGATAGTTTTGTGGGGTACATCAATCTGGGTTGGAGACTGTTTTCTTTTAGGGCTTGAAATACTTCAAACTCTCCTTGATTTGAGGGTCTGTGTTGAGAAGTCTGCTGTGATTCTGATGGGCTTTCCTTTATAGGTGATTTTATCTAATCACTTTTAATAATCTGTTCTTGTGCTGAATTTTTGGAATCTTGACTATTATATGCTCTCATATAGATTTTTTTTATCATGGCTAATTGGAGTTCTATATGACTCACTTACTGTATGTCAAATTCTTTTTCCATGCTTGGGAAATTTTCTACCATTACTTCTTTTTTTTTTTTTTCTTTTAAAAAATAAAAGGAAAACACATAAACAAACAGACATTTACAAAATAGCAAAAGAACAACACAAACAACACAGAGTTACAAATAAAGTGGTAAGAAATTAACAATGCTTGTATAACATATTGATATCTTCAATCTATCATTACTTCTGTGAATAGGTTTTTTATATTGTTTGTGCTGTCTTCTGCTTTTTCATTGACTCTGATCAATCTTATGTTCTTC